AGCATGCTTGAAAAGTCCCAATTAGACCTCCGTGCCGTCTCCTACAATTACCAAACCCTTGTGGGCCATGAAGCTTAACGAATGGAAGATTTTTTCTTTGCTCTCAAAGATTCGTGCAGGTAAATACCGTTGGACGTGCGGTGACGTCGGTGTGAGGATCTAATTGTACCATGCAGGAATTCCAACATGGTCATTAAATCGTAATTGGTGACCTAATTACAGAGTACGATGGAAAGTGTTTGAATTTTTTTCTGACTCCGAATCCTGTTAAGTCAGAAGTTAACAATTATGGAGCACGGCTTCAAGTTGTACAAAATTATTTCATTGGAAAAAGAGGCCAGAAAAGCTGAAGAAAGGTCGATGTTTGTCGAAAAAGGCAGAATGTTACGCATAATTAGCCCAACTCGACCCCTTGTCGTTTTAGTAATTAGGATGTTTTATCCTACACCTTTTTTTCAATTCTTCTTATTGTCATACATTGTACCATGTACAATTGTCGTGCAATAAAGTTCTTCTGTTATCAAAACCAAAACGGCAGGATAGATATGTACATCAGCAGACCAGATACCCCGGGCCCTGAGGTGTACAAAAACAATTTTCAGTCCACATGCATTATTTGGCACACATCCATACAGCACAATCTCCGAGGACCAGATACTGAAGGAACTTAATTTCTTTTCCTCGAGTTACTGATGAACATCTTTGTCTTTGTCCCGATCGCCTGGGAGAAGAGTTTGAATTATTGATTTCTTCTTCTGAACAAAAGCCAAGGAAATAAAAGGAAACAATTGAAGAGATCGATAATGGCTAATGGACTGACTCACCGTCTGCAATTAACGCGTCCTTGACTGTAAAGCGTCTGTGTGGGTTGAGACACGTAGCTGTCTGGCTGAAGTTTAAGAGGCCCTAAAACAACTGCAATGAACGTGAGACGCAGCGGAAGAAAGGGTGAAAGTTAAGTTTCCACTCAGTATTGTGGACAGATTCTTGGCAATGGTCTTAAGAAATGCAACCTCAGTGGCTGTTGCACCTATTGCGATGAACCTCTATAGACTATATATGATGCTGTATGAAATATGGAATGTTATTGTCGGCAATTAGTACTAGTTGTTGGCATCCTGTAACCAGTATGATGTCTGAATTTGTAGGTATCATCATGATCAATTTCTGAAACTGATGCATTGTCCATGTTAACAATGATCAGCAGCAAGTTAACATTTCCGCCATTTATCCAAAGCAGTTGGCACATAGTATAATTCAATGCAGTTTGCAAAGACGCACTTCTTTTAAAACTTGTATGTAGGTCATACTCAAAATATAAGATCGCTAAAGTCAATATAAATTCTCTAGTGAAGTGACTTATTGGTTTTTGGCTGAGGGTATCATCTTTATGTTCAGTGAACCGTATCCTAGACCATTTATCTTGCTCACAGGGGATTATAGGCGGCTCCGTTAACCCTTAAATGAACGATCGGTCGAAGGTTCTTAAGGATGAATGGGCAACTATTTAACCATCTAGGTCAACTGTGCGAAGTCTGATGCATTCCGCATGCGCAGTGTACCAAACGGGTGGATGATGTTTTCTGCTCTGATTGTTTGATCCGCCGAAGTCGACAATCTTACCAGTCACGACTGCAGTGTGATATTGTCGGTTAGCTCGAGGGACGAATCAAATCTATTATATAGACGCAATAACCAGACAGCTCATCCATTCATACGTGTAAATCCAACAACAACACAGTACGTACCAGATTTGGCTTGTTTAGGGCATGCTTTTAGACTTTTTTATGTTTTGGTATTTTTTGTGTCAGCCCCTAAAAAATAACATTTCAAAAAAGGAAGCCCGGTAAAAACACGCCAAAAAATAAGCCCAAACCAAAACCTCTGCTTGGAGAGTTACGTATCACCCCACCTTGTCACTTATGGTTTAATAAGTCAATTTGACGATTCTTGTGAATCGCTTTTAAGTGGTTCATGATTGCCCCCGCTATGACGTAACTCTACATTGTATCACTCATTATTCGAGTCTGTGCCTTACGTATCACACTCATTGATGACGTTATTTCATAAATGTGCGAGTCCAATTTCCATCTAATGAGCAAAAACAAGTTGCAACACTTTCACGTTCCTCAACATCTGCACCCACAAGTGTTTTTAAAGGGTGTTTTATCCAAGACTATTACTTATAATTAGAAGAATGCACGTCATGCAGTAATAGTTAGTAGTAATTGCTTGGTAGTCGTGATAAGCTGTAACCTATTATTTCTGTGCTTTTAGAATAGAACATCGTTATCTCAGACAATCTTTCAATTTTCTTGCAGTTAGGTTTGACCAAAATGATGTTACAACGTAGACTATAACCCGCTATCTTCTCTCATTGTTCAATGTCAATAGTCAAAATGTCTATATAATTATAAAAATTACACTTCCCGAACTTCACGGCAGTATTGAGGACATGGATTCGTGACTTTGTACTTGGGATAACAATCATCACCTTGCCTGATGTTGGACAATCATTCAATTTAGGAGAACAACTTTTGTTCAAGAAGAAAAACCTCTCCAAACAAATATTACCCTTAGAATCAACAATATACTCGTCACGCTAGACCAAGGAGTCGAGTCCTCATACTTTTTTGCTATCTATACCATTTGTCCCATGGCCTTGTCAGCAGTCACTAAAGATCGACATGGTGGTAGTCTACAACGAGGAAGACATATTGCCGTCTGTTTTCATAAAGCACCCGAATCTGAAGCAAGGATAAGTGATCAATTTTGGCAAGGCTACGATTATCAATATTACACGGCAAACCTTTGAAAAATAGCGACGTGACATCTTACTGAGGCGGTGAACACTAGCATCGCAGGACGCTGCAATATCTGGGTTTTTATTGGTACTCCCTGGATTTATGAATGATTCCTGCTCACTCAGTAAAAACATAAATATTTGATACTTCTTAGCCGTGACCAGGATTACGGTCTTACAGTTTAAAAAATAAGTGCTCACCTCATCTGCAGAGATCTTGGATTCATAAAACCAGATTGCCTTCAAGCTGTTCCCACCAGTAAGTGATTTATAATTACAGGCACAGCCGTCAAAAGCAATAATTACCAAGCCTGTACTAATGGCAGGAAATCCTTTGAACTCTACTCTTGAGGAAGGGAGACAAAAGTAAGTACCTTCCGGGGGAAAAGAGGAACCTCTTCCTGCAAAGGCAGCACTTTGGAAATCCTGAGAGATTGTAAGGATCCAGAGTCGGTGTGTGTCGTGTTACTTATGATGAACGTAATGAGCAATTCTGACAATGGTTCGAGACAGGAACTTCTTTTTTTCTTCTATAAGATGAAGTAGTCATGCTTGGGTTCAAGACAAGTGATCCATCTTTAAGTACATCAAGAAAATAGTTTGTCTTTCTTTGAGCAACGTTTTATAACTGCATATCCTGACAACGTATTATATCTCTCCTTAAGCCTGTAGTTTCCTTTCCCCTCGGTTTATCCCTGCAATATTCTTAATACCCTTTGGTCTTAGTTCCGTTTGTACATTTCGACTCAAATCTCGTTAGTTGGATTTCCTTCTTCGGGGCTTGGAAGTTTGTTTACGGTTTGTTTTGCAGTTCGCGTGGCAATATATCCGGTAACAATCAGAATACTCTTCAGAAAACAGCGCACAGTAAGCCGCAACATCAGCGAACATAGATCTGATCAGACCAAACTACTAATCTGACTTTCCTGCTTGATTCTATGGCCGGTGATTTTGTTATTGGTGTTGTTTTGTGGTTCACATGGAAACTCGGTAACAATCAAAATACGTACTCTTCAGAAAATAGCGACCATAGAGACAGCTGTTCATGGAGATCAGTCCAAAAGACTCTGGGGGTTTTCCGCTTGGCTCTATAGCCTGTGATCTTTTGTTGGTGTTGTTTTGTGGTTCACATGGCAACTAGAACTTAGTAACAATCAAAATACGTACTCTTCTGAAAATAGCGGACAATAAGAACAAACGTCAGCGCCATAGAAACTGCTGTATATGCATGGAGATCAAACCAAACAACTAATTTTTCTGGCTTTCCTGCTTGACTCTATAGCCTTTGATTTTGTTGTTGGTGTTGTTTAGTGGTTCACGTGGCGATTAGAACTCGGTAACAATCAAAAGACGTACTCTTCAGAAAACAGCGCACAATGATCACATGCACAAAAATCAGCAGCCATAGAGACCGCTGTATATGCGGAGATTCGACCAAGCAACTAATCTTTCTGGCTTTCCTGCTTGACTCTATGGTCGGAAATTTTGTTTTTGCTGTTGTTTTTTTTTAGTTCACTGGGCGGTAGGCAAGGATCATGTAACAAGCAAACTACGCACTATTCAGAAAACAGCGCAGATTAGCCCCAACACCAGCGGCCACGGCGGCTGCTATATACGGAGATCTGATCAGAACGACTAATAGAAGACATCAATGAAAGGTTGCAACAGACACGACATCATGCTGATTCACTCCTTGAAGTCTGGTTATTTTCGCTGGTGGTGCCTCTAAGGCATGTAAGAGCAAGTGCTCCTTTTGTCATACAATAACCTCTGGATTAATTTTAATGAACTTTCTGATAACAGCTCTGCACGACATCGGAACCGAGATACGTGCTTCTGTATAATCAGATGATGATTGCAAAACAGGACAATGTCAAGGATGCACAAACTCTTCGCCCCTGTGTTTTCATGAGTTCATGTTAATCGCCGTACCGCCTTTGTGTCAACCCTGGTTAAATAGATATAAAAAGAATAAAATCAGCTGATGAAATGGCTATGTACAAGCAAAATAAATATCAAAGAACGCCATAGTTCTACACATAAAAGTATTACTCAAAGTTTACATTTTGTAACAATACAAGGAATCTGTTTTCCATATACGGTGTGAGTTAACATCAACGGTTATCGCATGGGTTTAGAATAGAATGATATCAATATAAACAATAACCTCATTGTCATACATTCCCGTTTTACAGTGTTCTAGACTTTTAAAATCCCTCGATTTCTAACAAGTGAAGAAAAACTCTTGACGCTCCAATGATGACCAATATGTACTGAAGTCTATGATTTGATAAATACAATAAGATTCCTCATAAATACAATACACGTCTAATGGTTAGACTAATATATTCATTATGATATTTCTAAATGCAACCAAGTAAATTTAGCTGATGAATGTAGTTCTACTCATGAAATACTGACATTTCGTAATTCTTCTACAACACATTTACTCCAAGCGTACAACTAAACAGCAGAGTCTTTGTTGCCAATGCTCGGGGTCTCCACCTTTGCTCCTTTCTCCTTGAGTTCTACGTCGTTATCTTCTTGTTTGTTCTTTAAGCTCTCCTTCCGTGCCTTTAAGCTTTCCTTCCGGGCAATCCTTAGACTCTCCCTCCTCTGCATTTCCTTTTCAGTTTCCTCTTTCTCGTGTTCAATCCAAACATCCTGTAAACAAACAGATGAAAGGAAGTAAGGACGGCAACAACTTTGTTTTGTTTTTAGGTTCTCCGACTATTAGATTTTTGGGAGACGGCGTTAGAAGCCGAATAATCACTTGATTTGCCCCGCATAGCGTTTATATTTACCGCCAATACTGTAACAGTAAATCGTAGACAGGGGCTCTCGAGAAGGTTATATGAAAAGACTGTTAGGGTCCTATCTGTGAAGTTATTGGACCAGGTGAGATAGTGCCACTGTAAGTACTGATATAGATGACCACTCCCAGCACTGTATAAATGGATATCCGGAGCCTACGATGGTCTACGTACTGAGGCTAGATTTTAACCATTTGAAAACATTCGGCTGCCACATCCGAATAGTACCTAATCACGCCGAACAGTAGCAAACCACAGCCCACCTTGCTCCCGACCTACTCCCAATCACGGTTGGGGGAAGCTTGGTTGGGGTTTGTGAGGCCATATTCGGCTATGTCTGACAGGGTTAGGGGTATTACCTTGTCGTCATGGCGGACCCCGCACCACAGGGTGTGTCTACAGCGGCCGGGGCAGCAGCAGCACGCCGTGTCGAACAGCGGGGTGATCAGCCGGGGATCCAGCTCGGCAGGGTTCTGGGGACCTGAAAACCATCACAAGAACATCAGATCTTAAAAAGATAGGAAAATTTCACATGTAGAAATATATCAAGAATATTTCAGTATAAATTTATATATATATATATATCTTACGGCATTCATTATAAGCCAAATGAAGATAAGAAATTCCTTGTAAAAGAGCATGATAATTCCGGGCAAAACTGTATCGTATAGTCCAAAAATGGACTCGCATAGTTGAATGAAGTCCTCACTACGCTGTGTGGTTTACTTGGTGGTTACCGATCAAGCCTTATGTTACCATATGCAGCTTTTAGACAACCCTTTATTGTATCCATGGTAACTGATGTTACCTGTGATGAAGCTGACGATCAGCCCGACTGTCACCACCACGAAGACGGCTAGAACTCCGTACCACAGGTACGAGATGTTGTAGAACTCGGCAATGGCAGGTCTGGAGTGAATACAGGAATGTTACATGGGAAAACATATTTGAAGTTTTGTTTAAAGTTGGTCGGACGTCCAGCAAAGTCAAGTACAGTAGTTTATATATTGTTTGGTGTACCCGTAATCTTAAGGGTGGTCAACTACCGTATGGTCTTTTGCTTGCTTTTCCTTCCATCAAGAAAGGACACCATCTTGGAAGCCCTTTATGTTCATATTCATAATTTCAAATTTCCGTTTATTATTCACTGATTCATAGAGACATATCATGGGCACCTCCTCCCTTCATTACAGTTAGTTTTCTTTCTTCACTAACCTCTCTTCGGTGCTGGCAACAAGGTCCTCGACTGACGTTGTTCCGAGTAGATCTGTCACCATGGAGACTGTACTGGTCGTGAAGTTTGAATCGGTGTGGTTGGCCAATGGGCAACCCGCAATCGTGACCGGTGGTCTCGGGACGATGGGCTTGTAGATCTGAGCACCGATCCCCACCCAGAAGGTCATCAGGAACCCGCATATGATACCAACTACGGCACCCTGCAAGGTGATGTACCAAGAAACTTACATATGATACCAACAACGGCACCCTGCAAGGACATGTTCCAAAAGAAACTTACATATGATACCAACAAGGGCACCCTACGAGAACATTTCTCAATAGAAACTTACATATGATGTCCAACAAGGGCACCCTACAAGAACATGTCTCAATAGAAACTTACATATGATACCAACAACGTAAAACCTTTCCCTAAAAGACCGTACAAAGACATGCCCCAAAACATTCTGCAAGAAGTAACTTTTGTTATTCTCACACAACTCCAGTAAGTACAGCCACTTACCACTGTGTTGGCACAAGGGAAGAAGATTCCTAGTGAGAAGACCCCCAGCAGAGGTCCACCAACCATACCGAACATACCTAGGGCGGCCTGGAGAAGACGAAAGTTTCATCACTTTACATCATGTATTCATTAAAGAAGTGCCTGAGCATGGTTCTAGGTAGATCACAGTGGATACAACATGACTTCAGTCCCATATATGGTATGCACACTGTGCCTCTCCCGTCTGTGTGAGGTTAAGGTCCCGTTCGACTCTATGCAGTGCATATGGCGGTGCCCATCTCTATTTCTGTAGCCCTTGGGCGACACACAGTTGTGCAAGGCACTACAGCATGGGGATAGTCCGCTGGTAGTGCTGTGTGTTTGACCTACCCACACTCTTTCTCATATGTGCTGAGGGCTAAAGCAGAGAGAGAAGTGTGTACCATTGTGAGGTAGCGTACAGGGAATTTTCAGGCAATGAAACCAGGACACACATCTCACCTGTAACACAGCGCCCATGAAGGATGATGCCCAGGCCAGCAGAATCATCAGGGCTCCGTAAACCGCCACTAGATGAAAAACAATCAATCATGATATGGTCAGCATTGAGCCAAGATGCGGTGTTAAAATTTTCAGTGAATACGTTAGACGTACAACCTACGTGATTTTTTGGCCAACCTTACATATACATGTAACTCCCCCATACAACTTGTACATTGCAAAATAAGTGCAGTTGTTGATGTCAGGATTACGTACTTGAGTAAAATGTTTTATCAGATATTACTGATATTACCAAGACAGAAAAACTAAATTTTGCAATTATACAAAATGATCATTTACTGAGACTGTAGACGTATATAGGCATGGCACGCGCGCCCATGCACGGTTGGGATTTCAAGAAAGTGCAATTATTTGACGAGTGTGAATTTTGCAGCGAAGCCTCACCCAGTACTTTAGAGATGTTGGTGTACTGACGCTCCGACAGATCCTTCTTAAACGGCTTGATGAAGTCCTCTAAAGTGACGGCAGCCAGGGAGTTCAAACCGGACGACATTGTACTGGAAATAAAACGCAAATAGTACAGTTCTGTATATGTATATGTATTGCCCTTTGGCGTAACACACCAGCTTCGCAGGCACGCGGCGCGGCCAACTAGCTACATTACACCGAACGGCTTGTTACACCTAACCCTTGAACATCTAACTCTAAACATTGTTTAAAGCTATCTAATGATAATGCCCCTACTGTGCTTGGTGACATCTAGTTCCACTCTGCAATAGGTCTAGGAAATCTTTTTAACACCTCCATCCTTGGTTGATAACTCTGGTACTTGAAGGCATGGCCATTTCTTGTTTTTTCTTCTTTCAGGCAGTTTCAGGACAATACAGTCATCTTATAGCTTGCTCTCACGATAGCTCATTTGCATTCATAAAGAATACTAGTAGCTATATTGTGCTTGATGGATCGTAGGCTTCGAAAGAAGTTGAATGACCGTATATTTCTTTGTCTTTAGTACTTGAGTGAGATAACAAACTGTCTCTAGCAATCTCCTTTTTCTTTTATCTTTCTTTTTTTCGTGTTTCGTAAGACGGTGAATGACCGAGTGCTTCCTTGTACTTTTGGGGAATCTAAAAAGGGAACCGGTATGAATAGTGGGAAGTTGCATGACCGTATATTGCTTTATCTTCAGTACTTGAATGAACACCCAATAACAGGCAACATGGTACAAAGAGAGAGAAAACAAACTGTCGCTAGCAATCTCCTTTTTCTTTTATCTTTCCTTTTTTCGTGTTTCGTAAGACGGTGAATGACTGAGTACTTCCTTGTACTTGTAGGGAATCTAAAAAGGGGATGCGGTTTAAAGAGACAGCTTCGTTGGATTTTTCATCACGACATAGTACGTCGTAGGAGGTCATTACCGGTACCGTGTAAAGGAAGTCGAATTACCGGTACTATATAAAGTATACCGTATAGACTGAGGCTTTTGATAAGAAAGGCAATTAAGTAAGTTGGTTGGCAAGGCTTCTGCGTGCTGTGACGTTTTTATCTTGAGCTTGGTAGGAAGTTGAATGGCCGTGTATGTCCTTGAGGTAAGTTCTTGGTTGGAATCTGATAACGTAAAGGTGCCAACTAGACAAAGATCAACTAGAGCTTTAACTGCTACATATTCTACTGCATGTGACTTCGTAGGGAGTTGATTGGCTGTGTATACCACATAGACTGAGGTGAGGTCTTTACTAGCTAGTAAAACAATAAAATTATTTGGATCTTACAAAAAACGGCATAATTTTTAGCCGTCACAATTTTATCTTGTGCTTCGTAATCACCGTATATACTTGCTTGGGAAATCTAATAAGGCGATTAAAAACTACACCTCAGTAAGACTCCATTCAACATTCATACATACACGTTTTCAGACTGATTCATAGTGACATTTTGGCTAACTCAAGTTTTTTGCATGTTGAACCAACCACTTGCCTTTTGAGATGAATAATAAACTAGTGTACTTATTCTCCATTGGGAGTTCGATGGTCTTTTAGTATTATCTGTTCTTATTTGAATATATGATGATATATGAATATACACGCACAGACACGGTAATTTGGGAAGAATAGGGCTTAGGAAAATTGGCTTTTAATCCGTAGTTATTTTCATTAATACATTATACTTGTCATGATTGGATTTGTGAGATTAACCCGTCTGCTCTTAACTAGCTACGTGCAAGGGATAGATTAGTTTGATTTGTTTTCCAAGGACTTGCGGTATACTTCAAACTTGTCAATTAACAGGGTGCCCTCAGAAGGCCAGGAAATCATTTTCTGTACCAAGGACAGACTTTGATGCTCAGAAATTAAGGCTGCCGAAAGACCTTGGAGGAAGACAAGCTGTTGCCGAGAGCACACTTGAGGGTCGCAGTAAACAGGCCAGAACGAGGTGAAACACACTAAGAAAATTAAGTAGCAATCTACAATATCAAAGACCTACTTGTCACAGGACGACAACTGTTCATACAACAAGCAGTGTCAGCGACCTACTCAAGGTCTTACGTAAATGACATTTGGGAAGATCTCTATGGACATTAGCTATAAAATTGATTTTGTTATTATTATTTATTGCGTAACAACTGTGTTCGTTTATACAGAACTGTATATAGAACTGCATATAACTATATAACTACTCCACAGTTTTACATGTTGGATTTACCAATGGTAGTAAATGTCAAATAAGGCTATATAATGTTTACTGTGTTAACAGTACCGAACTTGACAATGGTAGTAAATAAAAGTCAAGTCCGGTGATATCGGACTTGCGTTTTATTTACTACTACGGCTACAATGATTGTTTTTAACAATTGAAAGTAAACATTTTATACTTTACAGACATTGGTGATTCCAATATTGCAGTATTGGGTGGGCTCTTACCAATTTCTAGGAAGCTCAACTCAGGCATAAGTCCTAAGTGTTCTGGACCCACCTGAGAGCCCCGGCAAACACAGCTGACACAAACACGCCGGGGAGACCGGGCAGCCAGCTGAGCAGCATCATCACCGTGTAGGGCATCAGCTAGAGGAGGAGGAAATGGTAAAGTTTACACAGATGTTCTAGGAAAGTTACGACTTACGAGTGATGCCATCTATACAATAGTTAGTAGCAGTATCATTAAATGTGTGACAAAGATGCAGCTCATATTACTACGTTGATGAAGATTAGACATCCAGGTAAAGAATATTCAAAGACAATTCAACATCTACCGCCGGATAAATTGTGACATCCATCACTCTTCTACTTATGAAGGTTATGCATCCAGGTATAACAATATTCAAAGACCATCCAATACTCCTAGTATTGCTGGATAAATTAATACCGAGATTGCTTCAGGACGTTTCTGGTGACATCAACCACTCTTCTGTAGCGTTACTAACATGATTGACACTGAAGGAGAGTGACTGATGTAACTCGAAACGTCTGGAAGTAATTTCCACAATTGATGTATCCGGTAGTAGAGTTTGACTTGTTTTGAACCTTATTGCTGTTCTTGTAAAACCAGACAGAGGACGCTCGTGTAGCTACATCGGATGCAACCTAGAGACATAGAAGTGATATAACTGTCGTAACTGGAGTGGAAGGAATATACCTGATCGGACGTTTTGAGGTACTCCGCAGTGACGGGGTCACATTCCCGGTTCAGTGCGTACATGACCAGGCCGCACAGAGACGCCAGAGTCACGATTACAAACAGCCCGGGAACGTTCAGGTACAGGGCTCTGCAACAGAGGAGCTACGTATCAATGCAATGATGGCATTGAAATACATTGTAACATCAGTTTTTAAAGTATGTTTTTGTGACACATCACATTCTACAAAATGAAACTTAGTTATAGCCAATTTAAACTCAGTACTACGTTTCGAGTGTCATCCATCAATCTTCTTCAGTCTTCATGCGCTGAACTTTTGCTGAGTCCATCAAAAATTTTGCCAATTGTTTTGCACGTTGATGATGGTTGGAGGCAAAAAGTTTGGTAAGGATTCCTGCCGTACCCATTTTTCACAAATCTGCTGTGATTTTCTTGGATACAATGCATTTTCCTGATGATTTTTAATTTCTTTTAAACGTAACATTTTTAATACATTGGCAAGTCTTACGTCTGCGCCTTGCGGAGGTTCTTACAGCTGAGGTATCGCTGGACCTGCGCCTGGTTCACTCCGAACACGGCGATCCACATGAACCCGCCGCCGAACAGAACACTCCACGTGCTGTGGCGGATCCGCGGGTCCACGTCCCACCTGGGGAGCAAAAAAAAATAGCGCTTAACTTAGATTTCTCGGGTGTTGTACCCTGAGAGCAAGACTAGTACTGGGCCGTTAGCCGGTTTCCTTCGGTAGCCAAGAGCACTAATCCCTAAATCTAAATTACGGGTAGGGGTAGTTGAGCACGAGGGGAGTTGGACGGCTTTATTACTGTCATTCAGATGTGTTTTTGGTTATCTTTTTCAGACTGAACAGTGATATGTATCGGGTTATGTTCTTTAGAGATATTTTTTATCAAAGCTTACAATTCTATTTCCAACGATTTATCTATTATGATCAATAAAACATTTTATGCGTAGATACATTTAGGTAATGATCAAAATAATAATGGTTAATATTATTATTCATTATTGCATAGTGATACCTTCTTCCTCGCGATTAGATGTGATCAATCTCTCTCCTTTCTTAGTAAAAGTGGCAAAGTGAAGAAAAATTTAGCATAGTAGAGGAAATCACCACACTCACTACTTTATCAGATGTTCACTTTGAAAATGCCAACTTGACTCACACGAAGAAAGTCAGCCTGTCTCCCTCCAGGTTCCTGCTCCAGACCTCCCCGAAGCCGCCCACGTTGATGCTGCCCTGGATGATGACGGCCAGGAAGCCCATACACATCACACACACCTGGAACGTGTCTGTCCACATCACTGCCTTCATACCGCCCTGGGCACAGCCAGCATAGAGGTAACTTGGTCAATACTACATATAGTTGGTTTACAAAATTTCTAAGTTTTTGGAAAACAAGGGTCTTATATCGCAACCTTGAATACGTTCACATAATGCTTCACATGATGTCAGGTGGAGACTCGTTCAGTCATCAACAAACACAGAGAGAGAAAGAGACACACGCAGACACACACACACACACACACACACGTGCGCGCGCACACACACAGTAATAAATAGCACGTGTGTCTATACTTACTATTGTAGTGTAGAAGGTGCACACCACGCCAAGGGTCAGGACGGCTCCCCATAGGTTTACTCCAGTTACTGGGGAAGTAAAGATGACAGTTTCAGGTATAATGAGAATTTCATATTTATATTTTCTCCGCATACTTTTTTTTCTCCGCCCGCCCCTCTCTAGTCTTTTTCTTTCACTTTTATGACATTATTTTCATCTCATTATGCACTATGTTTTTTTTCTTGTGATCCTTATATACTTACCTTCTTCCAGAGCAAGCGCAGGGGCGTACAGACAGATTCCCATGTATATTGTCTAGAACATATAAACAAAACAACATCATTCACATAGTTACTCAAACCTACAAAAGAGGCTTCTAGCGATAAGGATATGAATTACAGGAATTGGCAATGAACATAAAACCATAGACACAGGACATAAAAACTCACCATTTGCAGAATGAACGTAGCACAACCGAGTCTTCGGACCACCACGGAGAATCTTCTCTCAAGATACTGATGGACACAGGAGACAAAAATTATAATAGCGACATAATCTTACCATGTATAATGTAATCGTAATAAAAACATGTGCATCAAACCCGACAGTCCGGTCTTACACAGGTTGTAATATTACTAATTATAACGCTGAACAAAGCTGATGTGCTTGTGTGACATTTTAATTGTACTATTATTACACTATGTAGCATACCCAACTGAAGTATCACATTTAAGAGTTTAGTTCGCAATTAACATAAGGAAGAGCGATGGCACAGTTGAAAATTATTTTGGTAAGTCGGTTTGTCCTGTTATTGGACTAAAAATACACTGATTAAGCTAGATAACATTTACCACTCCCCTGACTTCCTGTTGGCCATACCGCCTGACATCGCAAATAGACTTGACCTTTTCAGAGGGATGGCGTCAATGTGTTTGCCTCTTGCCCGTAAGTAACCCCAGTAAGGGGGGGGGGGGTCATTGACCGCTGTAACGACTGGCCTTGGTACAGGATAAAATTACTCCGTGGTAAGCCGAGAGAAATGACATAGTCCTGTCGCATTAAATTTATGGCTCTGGGATCACGTTGTACTGACCAGGGAGGGTCCAGACGACTACTGGCCCTGGACCTGATGTCAATATTGGATGGTATGGTGGTTTTCAAGGCTAACATGTCTTGTGTGTAGCAAACTTTCTTCTTTTCTTTATTTCTCTCATTCATTTTTTTTCTTTTCTCTTTCGTGATGTCTCCCATTTCTTTTCTGTATTTCGTCCTTAGTAAGTTCATCTTTATTGCTTTCTTTTTTTTATCCCTCTCGTGATTTTCTTTTTCTACCACCATTCATTTTAACATTACCCTTTACATCTCTTTTTAGTCGCTTTTTAACACCCATATATAAAGACAATTTAGAAACCAACATTAACGTTATGCGGATAACGAACAACAATCCATGCGTTACGGTGATTCTTGCGCTTGCGTGGTTTTATTCTTAAAATACAGGGCATGAAATAATTGCCCCCCCACACACACACACACTACATGAGTACATGTAAACAGCAAGGTCTTGAACCTCTGAACGAAGGTCACAGTATACACAGGCATTCAAAGCCAGGAACATTTTTACGGATTATTGGTGTCCTTTGAAGACATAGAAAAACATTCTATACATTTCCTACATTTCTGGACGTCACTCGGACTTGAAGGACACTTTTAATCAGACACTTCCATATCCGTACGTATGATGACAGAAATAGGTTCAGATACATGGCACAAGGGGGGGGGCATGCATGTTGCAGATGTCATGCAAAACTAATCTACAGATCGGGTCACAAGTTCAATGTTGGTTATCGATCTAACATGGCGTCTCTGAACTCAATGTGGGCTATTCCAATTAAAGCCGATAAAACCGATATGCCGTAACATACAACAAAGTTCGTTGACACAGATTTTGTAGGGTTATTATAGATTAATTGGTTCACATTTGGGTCTTCTTCAATCTAGTACACACTACCAAACACACATGTAGTACTAACAACAAGTTGTTAAATCATCACAGAACTGCAAATGCAGGTGTACATTATGATCAAGCATGTTAAACCACCACAAAGTTGCAATTATTGCTTTACATTATGATAAATAAATGTCCAACTTTCTGCGTACCTCGTAAGCACTGGTGACGCCCAGGTTGAAGAAGACGGGCATGTAGAGGTGTGCTGAGATCACGATCATGAAGATATACGTGATCCAGAACATCCAGAACATGGTTCCGTGTGTGTACACCTCCGCAGGCGTGCCCAGTACCGTGATGGCAGACATGAAGGACGCCATCAGCGACATGGCCACGGGAACTACGTGCATCTGCCGGTCCGCCAGGAGAAACTCCTAAACATGGTACAACAGATACAATAACACATTTTGGTACGTGTTTGTAGATCTGTCCGTAAAAATTGCTAGAGCCTGGAACCGTGATGGCAGACATAAAGGACGCCATCAGGGACATGGCCACGGGAACTACGTGCATCTGTCGGTCCGCTAGGAGAAACTCCTAAACATGGTACAACATAGTACAATAATTTACAATGTAATAAAGCTTATAAATAGTTGCGTTAAACTTTGTAGCTCTGTACGTTAACACTACTAAGGAAATAAGAGAAGATCTTTAAGATTTTCTTATATCCAATGCCCTTGCATATCTAGATAACTTAGTTCAAGCCAATCAGTTTTGGTAGTTTTAGTGTGTATGTTAGTATGCCACAACAAAAATACAGTGGGCCCGGGGACGGTACAGGCTTCCGGGGACCTTTGACCTACTACTGTGATCACGTGCCGGTAAGGTCACGTGTCTAACGTACTGGGTCATGCACATTGAAGAAGGCTGCTTGAAATCCGGTAGTAAGTCTCTGTATATTATTATTTGCTGTATAGAAAATAATTTAAAAAAAAACAGCCTGCGTATTACTAACCTTAGTTGTTTTCTGTCCACCTCCTGAGAAGGCATAGTAGATGCCTATCCCGGCGGAGACACAGATCATGAGAGAGAAGACCACATAGTCCGCTATGGAGAACAGCGGCAGGTCAGGCTCCGCTAGTCCCTCCAGTACCATCCTGGGGCCGAACTACTGAACCAAGCAAAGAAACAATATAACCTTGTCATGGATAGAGAAATGGTGTCTACGGGGAAACGGACAGAAAAAAATCAGTTGTTGCAGTTTCCAATGCCGTTCGAGGTACAGCTCCATTGTACATCTCTGACATGTTTAGGTGGAAGTCTCCACCAATTATAAGTGCTCGCATCCGTACGGCTATCAAACTGTTAGCTGACTGGGACCCCAACTGTGGAATAAACTGTCACTGAAGCAACGTAAGACTTGCCATCCTACTACATACTGCCATCCCACACCATTTTCGACATATTTACCACATGGGAAATGTCAAGGGGGCAGACAACGTCTGTCCTTCGACTAAATAAACATTTTATGCCTGTCATAACCTTTGTTTATATTAGGACAGCAACTGGTTTCTTTAACATTGGCAACCTTCTATTTGGTTTGGAAGGTTGAGTTCTATAAGCTGTTCTTGAAATAGATGACACATAACCGAAAGAGACATGCGAGTTCATGGTTATGCGAGAGAGAGTTAACCATCGACCAAATGTGGACTGAGCGTAGCACAGCATTCGGCTACTGAATCTCTGAACACTACAGTTACGTTCTGTAATATATACTCTGACTGTCCCTTTGTAACTTGCCAATGTCAACCGCTCTGGCGCACCAAACAATTATGTTTGATAAAGCAATGGCGTTCTGCTTGGACAAATCTTCTGTACATTGATTTTTGTACTTCTTCTTCTTCTTCTTTCTGTTGAGGAAGCCGCCTTCAGCGGTTTGAAGATTCTGCTTCCTATGGTGGTGGGTGCATGCCGAGGAGGTCAGGTTTCACAGCTTGCCCCTAAACTCCTCCAGAGAAGGGGAGAGGGCAATGTCTGCATCCAGAGTATTCCAGTCAGGAATTGTCCGCGGAAAGAAGGAGTTCTGTCTGTAGGAGGTCCTACTTTGGGGCACTCTGTAGGCAGCAGAGTGTGACTGTCTAGTGGCCCTTGTCTGGACATTGGGGGTGGGTCTTGTTTGCATGTTAATGCACAGTGCACCGGTGTGATACTTGTAGAATGTTGTAAGTCTAGCCAACCTACGCCGCTCCCGAAGTGGGATCCACTGGAGCTCTTCCAGCATGTTGTTTACGCTAGAGGTGCGTCTGAAGCGTTGGCTAACCCAGCGGGTTGTACGATCAACACCTTGTGATGAAATTTATATGGTTCATTATTATTGTACAGTATGGGCGAGGTAGATATTTCAAGAAAAAACTAAAGAAACCTTGGAAAAAAATCTGTGAGTACTGAGCCATACATGCGTAAAGTAGCATCTGAAAAAGAGAGACACCTACCGTTTACGTTTTGCGTGCAATTTAAAGATCTTCAACTTCTTGGCACTGTCCCACTGCTTGATACCACCGTAGAAAATGCTCCGTAGTTTTATAGAAGCTCACAGACAGAGGCGCTTAACTACAACACGTTGTCCGTAGACGTGAACACGGCCTAGATATCTGGGGCGAAGTCGTTATCCTTGACGTTAGGCCACATTCTGACCTCACACGTACTTTTACAGCTATATTTATATTTTAGAAACAAGTGCCAACATAGCGGTTACTCCAATTCAAAACCCTGAACTTCAAACTGAAACTGAAAAACAAGAAGTCCGCCTACCCTCTTCTTCCCTATATTTGTTTCAGCTATTCTTTCCTAAATGTCATTTTGTACTTATTTTAGATTCTCACTCACATACAATCATGGCATGGCCCTCCCTATTATTAAAGCATTAAAAAGTTTATTGCTTACACCCCTTGCCGAGAATGGAATGGGATAGCCCACACAAGTGCGTCGCATCACGAAGCAAGGTCAATATCCTCTAGCGGGACAGTTGCCTGGATGTGCAGACTGAACTTGTGGCCTCTAGTCCTTTTAGATCAGACGTGTTACGCCATAACTGACATACACTGTACATATTCGTCTACATTCTGAAGAGGGTATATTGAAAAGCGTCGATAGAACCTGCTGTGCCTGTACGAAACTCGTAATACATTGTGAATAGCAGTTTAGCACTTCTGCGCTGCAGAACGTTTTCACGAATTCAAGGCGAATATATGAATTTTCCTCTATTTTTGCAATATTTGCAATCACTTCTATCATGAGATAGAGTTGTTCAATTGAAGGGTATGTAGCCATAATGAACAAAGTTTATATGCTATCAGACACAATAAAGCACTAGCACGAGGGAGAAAGAGAGAGAGACAGAAAGGGAGAGAGAGAGAGTGGGTGAGAGAGGGACAACAAGAACTCGAAAACATGCATGTCATTCTCTGTCAGCGCACATCTTTCGACGCTTTGGAGAATCAGGTTTTCACGTCATGGATGACCTTTAACCCTACCAATCACCGCAGCGGCTTGCTATCCACCGACATTTCTTTACATGCACGGATGGATATTTAGCGATTTGGAGACTTTCTTGTGTAACTCCATCAAAATATCTTCGTCTAAAGGTTGCGATGGACAAGCCGAAGGTACGTGCTTAAATCGGCGAGATTTTTATTATTGTTTGGCCGCGAAAATAGGCCGCCGGTGGGGAGGGGGGCGGATGGCGTTCAGCACCAAGGACAGGGTCTGTCTGTAAGCATTCTGCATGCATTAATAAAGCCCATTGTAAAATAGCCCAATAAAACAAACTAACGGGATCTGTGAGTAAGGGACCCGTGTGTTAGAAAGACAGTTCCTAGAAAAATATTCACTACATATTTTTTGTCTGTCAGTGTACATGTAGTAACGTTATGTCTTATTTATTCCATCGGTTGTAACTAGTTTTCTTTGTTGAAATACCGACACAATCTATCTGCTTTCTGCTATCATCTTTCAATAGACCATTAATAAATACATTTGGTTAGACATACGCTGACGTCTTGTTCTGACTGCCCATTTTACCCCGATTTGACCGTCAGGTTAAAACGGAGAAAGAGGACCGCTCGGCGGATGACCGGCCGTTCTCGTGCCCGAAGTGTCCGTACCGGTCGGACCGGCAGCACAACCTGCGGCAGCACCTGCTTACCCACACCGGCGAGCGGCCGCACCAGTGCCCGTACTGCGACTACGCCGCGGGCCGGAAACCCCACCTGGTCAGGCACATGGCCAGGCACACCGGGGTCACACCTGTGGTCAAACATCGCCGCCGCAGGAAGGTGGTTAAGGTGAGGGAAACAGTTTTTTTTATCATTCAGAAACACAGTGATAGATACAAATGAAAGGACACGGACTAAGTGGCTGCGAACTCACGTTAGGCGCAATTTATATTCTCGCAGCCACTTTTACAATGCAAAAAAAAAGGTTTTTACAAGACCATGGATACATAAGAAACCTAGCGTGAATCAAACCTCCCATCCCAAAAGAAAAAAAAAGAAAGCAAAGCAGGACACATACAACTAGAAGCGTTTTGTTTCTGGTTTGTAGTTTGATGCGGCTAACATAATTTTACAGTTAATGTCATAGGAACAGAGTATAAGCTTATAAATCAGCTTATAAATTAATAACCTGTATGCGGATTGCATTCAGCACCAAGGACAGGTCTACTTGCGTGTGTGATTGTTTGTGGGTGGCATCTAGCATAATGTACAGGTAGGGTTGCCTAGCTCTAACGATATGTGAACGGTGTTCAGCACCAAGGACGGGTAGGTTTACATTATCAAATGGTATAAAGTTATTTTGTCTTTGTGGCTACAATTCCTTGGGCGTCTCAAAAAGGCCGAGACATTGTTTTAAGAGCAGACTTAAGCATAATATTTGAATCTTTCTGGACAGGTACAGAAGCCCATGAAGCAGTGCCCATTCTGCGAGTACACCTCCAAGCGTATGTACGACATTAACGTGCACGTGCGCACCCACACCGGAGAGCGACCCTACAAATGCCCCGTGTGTGACTGGTCCTTCGCACACAGCTCCACCCTAGGTACACACATGGACATACACCGAGGGAACAAGAGATTCCAATGCCCCCATTGCGACTACGCTTCTGTACGTAAGGAATGTCTACGACTACACTTGTCTAAACACACCGGCTTCTTTCCGTACCTCTGTGGCGAGTGTGGGTACAAGACTGCTCAAAAGAGCCGCATGCTGAAACACATGAGAACCCACACGGGAGAGAAACCGTACGGCTGTCCGCAGTGTGACTTCACCACAGCCCATAAGAGGTCGGCGTTTACGATACTTACCTGTTCCCACTGTTAACTGTAGAATGTATATATTTACCTTGTGACTTGATGTGTGCGTGTGTGTACGTATATATATATATATATAT